TGGACACGTGGACATTGCCGCGATTCAGAGAAAAACACATATGTTTTGATGGTTAATGCTGGTGTTTCAAGTTTATCACTATTATTTAAGTCTGTCATGATCATTGACATCGCGATTGTTGCTGCCATTGTTGCATCAATTTATGTTTAGCAGTAGTAGCTCGAGGGAATAAGACAAGCGCCTATTTCATCATTGAATTGCTATCTTGTCTCCTTAGCAACATTCTTTCAAAATTTGAGTGCGTTTATTCCATTTGCCCAATTCTTAAGGTTTGTCTTACCGAATAAAATTAGCATAATCAAGGGTAGCTATTTACCAATACTGAAGTTGCGAGTTAGCAAATTTTATAGAAATGCTGGAATTACTGAGAGCATATCAACGTCCACAGTTATATGAGATCATCAGTCATACAGTATCGCCTCCTCTAAATGTTGGGAATTCAAGATTGCAAGCTCAATTGTGCTTCGTTTCTTTGAGCAACACAAGTTGGAGGACATAGACTGAATGGGTTTGACAAAGTTGCTTACAGATTCGAAAACTGCAGGCGACTCGGGAGTTATTTGAAGAAATGAACCCAGTAGCTCAAATTATGGTGCCAGTGGGTAATGAAATTACGAATTGGATGGTGGCTGCATTCTGAAATGAACTGTTGACATTTGTGCGGAATTTGCTCCACTATCATGCAATTTGGACTGCGAATAAAAGCGAGGCATGTTCATATGTTGTGTCACATATGTATATAAACGACACGATGCAATTGCGTTGAACAACGTTGATAATTGTCAACTTATAAGTTTTTTGATGAAATGGTGATTTTCAACGTGTTCGGTATTTATTCACAAACAATTTGCCTGAAAGAAGCCTTCCATGCAATGAATGGCTTCTATTCACGGAATTTTCATATTCTGCCTCAAAGCTGACTATGATGATTAACCCTACGCATCATGCATAGGAATGATCCTACGCACTCACGCAATTCAGCTAGTACTTAACCCATGGCATGTAGCCAGCGCGTTAGTCAGCAGCAATATCAAAGGCCTATATTTATTTAATCATGTGTGGAACAGGAACAAATTTTTCACCAGCGACGGCTCACTTTACGTTTTCCACGCCGCTTGCGTCATCTTCGCTGTCCACAACGTCATTCGGATCCGATCCATCCTGGCAGGCTTGGGATAGGGCGGTCTGCACAGTGTCCCAAATAGTTAATCCAAAAATCATTCATTTCACCCAAACCATAAACCGACAAATGTCGAATAAGCCAGTCAGTGAAAATGACTTCAATGGTGTGACCATCATCATCAAAATCCAATTGCGTGATGCTGTGAACATTGGTCTGTTGTAAATCGGGTTCAGCTGGCGGCGTCTCCGCCTGTGCATCAGCGATCAGGTAAAGCGTTATGCACAAACGCCTGGCGCCAAACCCTGCCAGAATGCATTGTTTAAGGTACCAGTCAATATGCCATTTTGAAATTAAATGGCGCCACTACAGTATCTGCGATTCCACAAAAGGAGATTCGGTGACATCAATTACTGTCAAGTGGCGTTGCATTTCGCATCACATAAAGATGTACGTGTCGCAAGAATGTCTGCACGTGTCGCAGAAATGTCGTGTAAGTCCTTCCAGACTACGGCTTAAAATGGCCAAGCCTCATAAAAATGCATTATCCAAGAAGCATTGAATCAAACAGAATCCTCGCGCGGCAGAATCGCTGTAAGAAAAGGAATGAAGAATTTTCGCAAACGCTGAACAGTTGTGTAATACTGCACGATATTCCACAATGCCAATTGTGTCAAAAAATTGCTCAAGGACGTCCCTCGATGTACTGCGCCAAATTGCGGCACTGGTTCGCTTCTTAGAAACCACGGAGCCGATGACAGACATGGATAAAAAGGCATTTTGGAACATCGACCGACTCCCGACCTCACTTGATAAGTTCTGAGCGCTCTCTCGCTGCAGGTTCCCGATTTGAAGAATGCGATTGTGAGAGGCGTGTAGAAACTGACCCAGATCACAAGCGCCATAATCCCCCAGTCCCAGTAGCTTTTGAACTTGCTGTCCGGGTGGATTGTCCATTCGGGTTGCTTTTCACGGTTGTCCGACCAATTACGCTCTGTAGCCAATTCTTCCTGCAGTTCTGCGCAAATTTATCAGATATCCGAGCAGAAAGACACGCTGCTTGAAGGTTAATGCATCGCCAAGTTAATCAAATTTACTCCAAAACGGAGCTCATTTGCTTGGTTGGGTAATTCTGTAGTTCTGAAGGTCGATGGTTCATTGAAGCAATGATAATTTCTGGTGCTTTGAATCTGTGTAGGTTGCGTAACACTACTTCAAATGATTTCCAAATTTCCAGCATACAATTTCGTGCAAAGTTACGTATATAGTTATAAATGATGTAAAGACATCTTCTTGTCAGCCAAGTTTCTCGATACTCGATAGTGGTAAAGTAGAAATAGCGGCCACCTATGACGGAAAACACGTAGCAGGATAATGCAAAGATTCGCAGCAAGGTCTCTTGGTCTTTTTTACATTGAGCTCCGTAAGCAGGATATTATCAGAAGCTTCGAGAAAGTAGCGAAGTTTCGACAAAGTTCCCACTCCTGAATTGGACTGACTTATGTAACGTTGGACTGTTCGGCAATGCTTAAACTATAAAATAGTCTGTGGCTCTCGAAGCATGTGTCGCTTGCCAAGAATCTATGAATGGTGCTCCATCAGAGCCGTCGTTCCGATATGCAGCATACTGATTACGAAATCCAGTCTAAAATGCAGCAATCAAAATAGAATAGTTGAGTCATAAAAAATTCTGTTGTTTGCTTGCACCAGAAAGAATAAAGATTTTGAGGTGTTTGAGTTGCACATGCTGATTTACATCTTGAATTAAACCACCAGGAGCTCACATGAATTGATTTTCGCGTCCTCTCCCGAGGCAGCGTCAGAGTTCTTTCCAACGCATCTTCGCGAGAGAAACCTCTCGTCATCGATGGTGTCTCGCCGCCCATTGCACCAGCAGGCTTGACTCAGCTCAATCATCTGCGCAATTGCCAAGCGGGGCACGGCCATTCTGACGAGGGATGCACCGACCACAGATTCCGGCAGTCGGCGGCCAACAAAATTGACCATTCGCTGACCCCGAGCGCCGTCGCGCAGACATTCCGTCCCAGCGTATGGCAACGGGCACATTCACCGGCACGCGGTGCAAGAGCACAGGGCTCGCAGTGCTCTGGGCTTTCAGGGCACAAAGCGTGCGAAAGGGCGCGCGTTGGGCGCATTTCGTATGGGTTTGGCAATATATAGCCATTGACAACGTCCAGTGCGGCACTGGTACGTTTCTTCGAGTGCTGCCACAAGGGCCGCGCTTTTCCCTCTCTCGCCCCTGTGGATAGGATTCGTCGATATTCAAGGGTAAACGAACCTGAAGCGACGCAGCTGCTGGGCGCTTGGCCAATCGTCGCGTGGCCCTTCACGGTGCTCCGGCTGTCACATGGCAGAATTCTCGAGGTGGAATTATCGGCACCTTTTCCTGGGGCGAAAACGGGTAGCTGGCCGCTGCATTGTGCCATGGCATGTAACACTACCTGGCTGATGGATCGACCGAGTGATCGAGGTGGTCGGCATGTGCCATGGAGTGCATCCCTGCAAGAACGGTGGTGCTGGCCGTGGTTCTAGGCCGCCGTCCGCAGTAGCCCACATAGTTGTGAAAATGGCGATTTGTACTGCACGTGTGTGGTGACTTGCGAGTGCACAACTGTTGACTTGTGAGGCAAGACAAAATAGGGAGGACGCTGCATCAGCAACCAACCTTTACAACGAGTATTCACTGCATCCTTGATAAACGCTGCCATTGTGATGGTTGACGATTTCCCATGCGTTAAAAATCTGAATCCACGTTGCTGTCTTGGGGTGCAGACTTACGTTGGAGTATGTGCTGAGGTCCTGCGCTCGCGGTCAGCATGCCCTTGCACTGGTGGGGACTGTCAGCCTCTTCGCAACTCCGCAATTCTCAGTCCGTTCTCCTATTAGAAAAACGACGCTGAACCATGCAGTATCATTAGACCCAAGGTGAGGTTTTTGGGCCTACTGTTCCATACCGGAGTGGCCGTCTCGTATGTCTGACATGTGACAACGATGATTTGTGCGTCTGTCGACGGCAGCGGACAGTGCAGTGGTGTCGCGCTTACCCCTGTGTGCCAGGCCGGCCGTTAAGGAGCGTCAAGCGACAGGCAGCCGTGATGCCACACCATCACTCTTCGAATTTGGCTTTTTTCAAGAGCTTTCGAAACTGTTCAACTTAAAATTTTGGAATGTACTACTATTGCCTAAGAAAACAATAAAAAATGCGTTCATGAACGCTCTTGACATTGTTCGGCGCCTCCTAGCCAAGCACGCACATGGAATGAATGTCAAATCCCTCTTTGCCTTACACCTCATCCGCCCACATCAGCCGCACTCCTCCCCACAGAAACAATACCATCCCGCAGAAACAATCCGTGCAAACAATCCAAAGAATAGGTCGTTCGTACGCATACCCCTCCCACAGTCTACATGGAGACACTTGAAGGGTGCGGCTTAGTCACACCCGGGGCAGGCCACCGTCCGCCATCGTTCGAGCCCTCCTGGACGACGCGCGAAGCTGCTTCGAATCCGCCTCGAAACTGTTTGGAAGGAGCCATTCCTCAAGAAGCTGGATCGAAGGACCACTAAATCCAGACCCCACGCCAAATGCCACACATCACTTGTCCTGGAGATGGATCTGACGATTGCCACGGCTGCCGACTGCCATCAACTCGCAAACGCTTCCAGCAGGCCAGTGCCTTCACGTTCAACAGGGCATCAGCCGTCGCCGCAGTTTCCTTCACAGTCTGAGCGCCCCGAGCCTGACTCCGCCCCCGCCGTTTCCATCCCCCGGCCAGCCGCGACGCCGCACCTTCACAGCATCACACTTTCGCAGTTGCACAGCTCAACGTCAGCGCAATGGCGCCTCCGGCTCCTCCATTCAGGCGAAGCCGTTATCCTCTGCCACCGCGCCGAAGCCACCGGCCGCCGCATGCACGTCGACGGCGCGGCCCGATATCTCGTGCAGGTCCGCCCACGCCGGGTCCCAGCAGACGGCCTCCGGGGTGGAGCACGCCACGCTGAGGCCCTTGGGCACGGTGGCGCCGGCGCTGGGGTGTGGGAAGTGGTCCTCGAACAGGGACTGCAGGAGGTAGTACTCGCGGGTGCGGGGCGGGTCGTCGGGGAAGCGCGCATGCCGCTGGCCCCACATCTCGTCCGTCACAACCTGCGGCGGGGACAGCGTGTTGGGATGGATGCATGCAAATGAATGAAATCCGTACAGGGAGCGTGCTGGGAGTGAGCATGGGCCCAGCTGGGACCTGCGATGTGCTGCCGCGCTTTGCAGACCAAAACATGGCATCAAGGCGAAAAGCACTTTTCCTTGCAGCCCAGAATCCGGGCAGCACGTCTGCATCTTGGATTCCCAAGCGCGGCGCCAGTTGGAGAGCCGCAACACTCGAAGGAACTGTCCAACACTGGTGGAATCCAGTCTTGCAACAGCTGTCACATGCGACTTGTCGTGCAGCACAAGCACTGCATGCTCTTCGCAGTCTACTAACATTGATATCCAATGAGCACCTTGATGTGTAGCAAACTCAGTGAAAAGAAACCCACGGAACTTGTAAAGAAGTCAGCACCACGTTTTGGCCTTGGGCAACAATGCACATTAACTGTGCGGCGAAAATCCACAACCTCTTGACAGGTTAACGATTGCACTCCAGTACTCAGAAGTTAAGCTAGTGAAAATGAAACAAATTTAAGGCTTCCATTCCAAGTGACAGACACAAGGGCCAAAATGATTTGTTGCATGACAACAAACACTCAAAACTCGAAAGACAGATGAGGGAACAGGACGTGCAGGACCAGGACTGGGATGAATGCTCCAGCGTCCAAAGTGCGCACCCTTCCAACTCGTGTGGCAATTGGACTTTCAGCAATGCTTTGGCAGCAATCGTCTCACAACCACTGTTCGCTCAGGTGGGGACTCGGGTTTGTCAAATTGCAATCAGCAAAGGGACTTCCTGGCAATTATTCTGCTGCTGATCTTTCTTCCAGGAATGGTTCTTCTTCCAAGAAAAAACATGGCCTGGCCTGAGAACAGGCATTCTGTTCCTTAGAATCTGATTCTATGTTTGTTTCCTTACTTTATTCTTGTGCTAGCCACAGTAGGGTGGCACATGTTAGCAGCAAAATATGTTTGCAAATGTTGCAGCATCGCCCAGAAAGGGTCTCTCAGCAAGTCACTCAGCATGTCATGTACCTTCTCTGCATAATTTTTCAGTCCATCCACCCATGAGTATCCAACGCCATCGCTGAACTGCTCTTTCTGACGAAAAAGCACTGAATCTGGAAGGTATGGGTGTGCAGGATCATCAAATGCCTTTCTCAAGATGTACTTCTCCATCTTGGGGTGCACGCCATCTGGCTTGAAAGACATGTCACAGACCTTGTCCTGGGGGTCCACGCTCATAATGTACTGCAGCCAGAAGACGGAGGTCAGAGTGCACAGCTGCACAAGGACACCGATCTCAACCAATGCAGTCCACATTCAGTTGCCGTGTTAGTCGGGACCACACAGTTGGCTGCAGTTCTGCAGGTCTAACTTTACCAGGATTGAAGCTGACATGAAAAATCGCAGGGCAAAGGGGTACAAGGCCAATGCCTGGCTTGGCTGTTGACATGAAGATCCTGAATGGTGCCTTCATCCCTGTGTTGAAGAGAAGAAAACGGCATAAAACAAACACAACCCAAACAGGAAAACACATGTGAGAGAACACTGCCAATTTCAACTGCTGTGTGCCCTAATGGCACACAGTATACTTCAAACAGAAAAAACTGTCCATTTTCATTCCACTTGCTGTCATGACCACACCCAGAGCCACCGTATCTTGCCCTGTTGCTCAGTATTCACAACATCCCAATTGTGAGAGCGATTCACAGGAATATAAGAACTGTGTTCTTGCAACGACAATAGAACATAGTCACCAACCTGCAAGAAGTCTTTGTCAAGAAATGGCACCCTCACTTCGACCCCCCAGGCAAAGTTAGCTTTGTTGGCTCGCAGCACGTCCCACTGGTGCAGCCTCGTCACCTTCCTCACGGTCTCTTTGTGGAACTCTTGTGCGCTGGGAGCCTTGTGAAAATACAGGTAGCCGCCTAGCGCCTCGTCAGCCCCCTCACCTGACAATACGACTTTGAAGCCCTGGGCCTTGATCTTTCGAGCCAACAAGTAGTTGGGCACTGATGCGCGTGCCTAGGGCGCAGTCAATGCTGTCAGTGGGTGCTCCCCCACAGTGGAAGCCCACTTTGCTTGCAAAATATGCCAACTCCACATCTCGGTAGGGCACGCACCAACACTCGAGAAAGAATGGACACTCATGAAACCGGGAATTAAGCACAATAGGCATCCTGCACAGCGCTTCCGCATACTACACAGTGTGCTACTGCCTACACAGTACTTGTGCATACCAGGGTTCACAGTGCCAATGTCGCAACAGCTTGAGTGTGTTGTTGTATTCTATCAGCACATTATCTGCTCTCCAGACCACCATCGCGGACAGCTATTGAGAAACTGCATTACATATGGCAGGACATGGCACTACACTGTTCTCGTTGCTTGCAGACCGTCATGAGCACCAACAAGCTATAGGAATTATCTGCCAGCCATGTCTCATCTTGACTATTGTGTGCAAGGACTTGGTTTGTCATGGTGACTTGAGAAATGTCAGCCAGGGAACCATATGTGATATTAACTTCACCACTTAACACAAGTTTCATATTTAATCCATGGAGTTACATACATATGCAATATTATTCATCTGCCTCAGAAGTGCAGGTTGTAATACGTACTGGTTGGCGCTTTCAATCCATTGAAATGCAAGCAGCAGGAACGACCACATTCTGAGCAAACACACCTCAAATGACCATGCCAGAAAATTGAAGGGTACTGCCAGCTCATGCAAGGATGGTAATCAATGCGATAAACTGAGGATCTACACAGCAGGCGCAACACATGTTATGATGGCAGACCTGATGGTAGGATTCTGTGTGGTAGACCAAATCCCTCAGGCAATCGATGCCCTCCTCCACAGTCATGTGGCACTCGTGGTGGATGGTGCCCAGAAAATCGGCCACCTTCCGGGCAGCCAAAAGGTCTGGTGCCCCCTTGACTCCAATACTGAAAGTGTGCACCTTTTCATTCTTTCTGAATGTATATGCTGAGTCATGGATGTGCCTGGAGATAAACAACCAATTGTATTGTGTGAGTGAGACTGCACTCACAGGAAAATTTGCCACCACGGCAGCAAATTCAGCCACGTTCTTCAAAGCTTACATGCACTTCCACAAACGCCAGCTTATGCATTCAAGTTGCACCACAATCCTGGAACTTCTGTTGGCTCATTCCAGGATTTCTACTGAACCTTTCTCATTACTGCTACCCAGACAGGGAGAGCTTGCATAGCAGACATAGCCAACACCATTGTGTGTGTGGATGTGACGATGTCAGGTGAAGATGGAAAGACATTGAAGTGCACTGTAAGAATTCTAGTGCAGAGGTGGTTGTTGTGGAAATCGGTTTGCCTTCAGTGTGCTTTTAGGACAACTCAGTTTCCTTGAACTTTCATGTGATGTTGGAATCCAGAGCAGTGGAGGCCATGCAGACATGCAGTAGGGCAACAAGCCAGGGATGAATAACAGTCACAGAACTGTTTGGGAGACAGGGGTATCAAAAGGGAGAATGGCATCATCGCCAATGCTGCTCCTTGCATGCCCCACCTTGTTGCAATGCTGGCAACAAGTGAGGAGTCCAGACCTCCAGATAACAGGACTGCAAGCGGTGCATCAGACATGAGCCTCTTCTTCACAGCATCTATAACCAGTTTCTGTTGCACAAAGGCACAATTGAAAGTCAGAAAATCCACAAGGATTAGCATGCCAAAGATGTCACCAAAGACTGCTAAGAACAGAAAATGGCAAATTTTTGGGGGCATCGCAGGCTGCAAAAGGTGATGTTAGTGGCTCCCATGTGCAAGGGCACTTCTGACTGTGAGCAGTTCATTTATATTCTGTGTGTCACTACCGAAATCAAACGAATGGCAATGCACAGATACAAGCTGTGTCTATGTACTGTAACCAAATTGTTAGACACTGCCTTACACAGCCAGTCAGCCCAACCTACTGTCAACTGGCTAAGAGGGAACAACGGTGCACGATGGGAAGAACAATTTTTGCGATCGCAGGGCCCTTCAAGTACAGGGACAATTAGGTTACACTAATCGTGCTGAAAGCATCAAGGTTGGGAAAGATGCCTATCATACTATGCTGGGTCACAATAACAAATATGCAACAATGACGCACGCATGGGCTGGTATTGTGCTGGTGTTGCGCTGGCAGACTTCCACATCATCTACAGTGCAGAACAGGTTCTCCTATGAAGATTCTTGCATGACAGCGGGGGACTTTTGGATGACAGTGCTTTTTGGTGTTCAAACATGTGCATGAAAGCATCCAACAACTCCGTTGCTGAAGATCAGTGTGCTTGCAAACGACCAGAACCTGTGACCTTGCTCACGAGCAGTGTGATGAAGCACATTGTAGTTTGCTTTGGCAACAATAGATGGAAACACACAGTGCACAAACCACACAAAGGGATGCATCAGTGCCTGTTAGTGGCAAAGAACACATAAGCAGTGGATCTGTGAAATAATTTACACAAATCACAGCATGGAACAACCAGAGAATTTGCAAAGACCACATGGACATACCTTCACATGCCTCAAATCCGTAGGCTGTGTTGGAATGACATCCATGCTTAACCAGCTTGGATTGTACCACCTCTGAAGTTCCTTTGTCCCACTCCAGTACATATGGCCCTGCAACACAGATAGGATCAAATGGTCAAGACATACAATCTCTGGGGATTGTGTGTGACAAGAAAGTCATCCATTGGGTGTCTTGTGGCCAATTGATGACTTCAAACCATACTTGCAACCGTGACCATTGTCTAACCAAAAGGTCCATGAACTACATGGGTTGTGCATTTTGTGCCTAGCATGTGTGCGCGCTTCTTGGTGCAAGTATCAAGCCCTGGCATATGGAGGATGGATCACACGTCTCTTGCTGCGCCTTGGAAGATAAAGAGCGAATCAGACAAATAAGATGATTTGTATATACAACCGGGAACAATTTTCAAGTGCTAGGTCACTTCATTGATGGGTACTGTCAGGCTTGTCACACAATTCAACGCAATGGCAAGCCTCCCACGCACAACACAAGGAAGCTTCTCACTGCGCCTTGCTCGTTCATTGAACCTGGCAATGTCTTGCTTGTGGCCTTTCCCCAGCAGACTGGGTTCAGCAGGTTTCTAATTCCACACTGCAAGTCAAACACTGTGCCAGGTTCTGACCCCTGGTCGCAGCACTATACACATACATCGCACACCCCACACAGCCTCGTTGCAAACCAGGGGTTGAATTTTCAGATGGTTTTCAATACCATTGCACAACACTTGGCATGGTAGCACGTAACTCTTTCCACTACACAGCCATGCACGATGGCACACACTGCATGAAGTGCACCTCATTGCCAGCCATCCCTCAGGCAATCGACGTGCAACGCCACCCTCGACAGTGCCAGACTATGCCTGATCCCCACACCCCCACCCACATTTTTACCGGGGGAAATATGTCCAATTCCGCACAGTGCTGCAGTGCCTTCATCTCGCTGGCAAACCAGACACTGCCGTCGCGGTCCCGGCCCCAGTACATCGGGCAGATGCCGATTGGGTCCCTGAACGCCAGGAACTGGTCCATGTCCTCGTCATACAGCACGCCGCAAAAGATGCCGTCCATTTTCTGGAAGACCTCTGGCACGGGCCCCAATTTTTTGTACAGGTAGCCCAGGATGACGGAGTCCGAGGTCGTCCAGCTCGTGTCATACCCCGCGAGGTCGGTCTTCACCACCTCCTCGTGATTGTATATTTCACTGTTTCTGTGTCCAAAATAAGGGCACAGAACGCGGACTTCAACCACGGCACATTTTTCCACTTGCTGCCGGCGTTCGGCACAGACAAGACAGGTCGGGACAAGAAGACCAGCTCTGCGGGTAAGCGGTGGCTGGCGGCAGTTCGGGCGGTTCAAGCAAAAGGACGGGCAGGTTCTTTGAGCGCGAGTGCAACGGCGGTTGAGCCGCAGGCGGTGTCGCGGGGACAGTGGTGGCCCCTCCGCAAGATGAGGTCTCACACCCGCCGCCTGAGCCCGGCAGCGAGAGAGCGGCGCCTGCGGCCTGGCGACACGCCGCCACTGGCTGTCCGCTTCGGGGTCAAATGCCCCAGGGCCAGACCCTCAAACAGAGCGACTTGTGTGGACGAGCGCCTTTTTGGTGCCGTCAACACCCCAACCGTCAACGCAGCAGACATTCTGGTCCCCTTTCCGCGCCGAAACCAGCCGTGCTCCAACGGAAAGAAGGCGCGTTCGCCAATTCCACTTCCAATTCCACTCACATGACCCATGCGATGTCTCCCTCCGGTCGGTCAATCTTGAACGGCTGCCTGCCGCAGATGGAAGCCCCATTCCGTCAAACCCCGCAGCCCCAGAGGCCGGAGGCGCCGCGTCCGAGCGGCGGCCGGGCCGAGCAGCGGCGAGCCCCGGCGGCGGCGGCGACGCTGGCCCTACTTGCCCGCGTCGGAGGGGTCGATAACATTCAGTCGCTCGTGCGTGAGCACAACGGTGCCCGTGGCGCTGGCGTACACCCCCGTAGCGTCCGGCCCCCTGTGCCGCAGCAGCCGGCTGACCCTCAGCACCCGCCGCCTGTTGGCCTCGGGATCCCCCGACAGGCCCAGGGCAGCCAAGATCCCGCACATCTCGCCGCTGATCGCCCTCGCCCCCGCCTTAGGGAGGAAGGATCCGGGCGGAGGCGCGGGAAGCCCTCCTCGGCGGCGGCGGCGGCGGCCGGGCTGTCCCTCGGGCCGGCGGGCGAATCTCGCGGGCCAAAAGGCGCCCGGCTGCTTTTGTGGGCGGGGGCGCGCTGGGGATCCGCCGGGCCCGGGGGCCCAGCGCCGTTGTTGGACCACAATACACACGGGGCGCGGGCGTACTTTGTCGCTCCCCCCGGCCACCGCGCCCGTCCTCCAGTACTTGGCCCCGTACTCGAATCCTGTGCCAAGGATTTGGGCCTTGTGGCCCACGCCTGCTGTTGCTGCGCCCATTTCGGCCGACCGGGGGGGGGTCTCCTGGCCGCCGCGGATGGCAGCCGTGGCGCAGGCGGGACGCACCTTGAGCTTGTCACCTTGGTGGTGCGATCCATGGGCCTGTCGGCGGCGCCAGGCGCCACGACTTTCTCCTTGCCGGGCTACCAAGCGCAATGACGAAGGCCAGAAGGCGAAGGATCGTATCCGTGGGGATGCGTCGAAAGGAGAGAGCGGCGATGAGCGGCAACCGGGAAGCCCGGCTGATCCCGGTCAGGTGGGATCGGCGGAAGGGGCCGGGGGAGGGGATGGCGACCGGCCAGGGGGCAGGCCCAGGCGGCGACTGACCGAAGAGCACAAGCGGAAGATCAGCCTGGCGATGCGCGGGAAGAAGAAGGCGCGCGGTGAGGAGGCCCGGGTGCTTTCCGCGGAGGCCAGGGCCAAGATGTCGGCCAAGAGACGGGGCAGGAAGCCCAACCTGGGCGGGCGCCACACGGCAGCGGCCAAGGCGGCCATCAGCGCGGCTAACACGGGCCTGGTGCGGTCGGAGGAGACGCGTGCCAAGCTGTCGGCAGCCCTGAAGGGCCGGAGGCATTCGCTGGCCACGCGGGCGAAGATGTCGGCGTCTCATGTGGGGGTCAAATACGACGCGGCCACGCTGGCCAAGAAGAGCGCCAGCCTGCGCGCCTTCCACGCGCGCAACCGCGGGGGATCGGACGCGCGGCGGGATCGGCCAAAGCGAGCGCCCAGGCCGCGGGAGCCGCCGGATGCCTTCGTGCTGGAGCGCGCGCTGCTGGAGGTGGCGTCGCTGAGGCGGGAGGTCATGGACTGGATGGCGCTGTGGGCGATGGACCACGACACCAAGCCCAACTTGGGGGACATGCTGGAGGCGTCTCCGGAGACGCACGCCAAGTTCATGAGGTTCCTGGCGCTGAGGGACTTCGTCAGGGAAGGGGACCGGTGATCGGGTGCGCATTGCCGGCGCCTTGCGCCCCCCCTTGAGCCGTCGACGGTGGCTTTCCTGGCGAGGCCGGTGTGGTGATTGACCTTCCAGTGCTGCTGCCAGGGGGCGCGAAGGGTCGACCCATCACGGCGCATGGCGTTGTTTTGCCCTGCCAAGGCAATTGTGCTCCATGGACGCGCACTATCCCTGTCCCGCCGCTTCCACCGCCCCTACCCGAAGGAGACCAGCTTATCTACCCGTCGCTCTGCACGAACCCCATTTGCGTTCCTGAGATTTCGCATTGAAATCCTGGCGAACGGGCGACACCAGAAGGCGCGGTGGGTGAGGCCCAACTGGAGCAGATTGGGGGTGCAGATTGTGGGTGTTGTTCCCCTGGCCCTGTCATCTGGGTTGGTGGCGCAAGGAGACACCAGGTTGTGAAAGACAACGAAATTCAGCACATGTCCAGCTGCCTCTTCTCACAGTCAACCAGTGGATGCCGTCCAGAACCAGGGAGGCTGCAATCAGAAATGCAGCCAGGACTTTTAGGCTGCTAGCTGAGCTGGTGTCTGCTGTGGTGGAGGCCAACAAAGCGACCGGGGGTAAGACTTGGATGGTGTCCTTTCCAGGATCCTGGATGTGCAATCCTGGTAATGGGCCGAGGGTGTTGAAAGTGCAGTAGGAAGCATGCCCTGTGCTCCCCCGCTTGAGAACCAAGTGTTCCTCCAAACCACAATGCGCATGGGTTCAGGGACGACAGGATTGGGATCGCATCAGGCTGTCAGATCAAGGTGTGGAGTGTGAACACATCTCTGCAAAGAATCTGTAGTCAAATGCCAACTTTCAGGAAGCCTTTTCATGCCTGTATGGAGTGCTGGACGTTAGGCATCTGTATTCCTCCATCTCTCTTCCCTGAAGGTGCTGGCCTCAGCAGGCTATCGCCATTGCAGTTGCTTGCCTGCTTGTAGAGCCCGTGTCTGTCAACATGCCTGGGCTACTCTCACACCCTAGGTGTGCCATCACACTTGCCTTGCAAGGCTTGCTGAATGAGTATGGTGGTTGATCGCATTGCCCAGCTGTAAGATTCACAAGATTCTTTGGTTCCCAATTGACCATGTGGACGCCATTTGCTTCTGGGACGGCAGCACAATGGTGTTGGCTGACTGCATCCCAAGGAAACTAAGTGCAGTTCTTTGCTGGACATGGCAAACGTGCAAATCTCTACATGTGCATGTGCTCTTGCCGCACCACCCTTTGGGTGTTGCAGTACTTTCCCTTCGTTTTGTCCTTTGGCTTCGGCTGGACAAATTGGTGCTTTGCTGGTCGCATTCAGGGATGCAATTGAAGGCCTCCAACACAGGAGGCTTGCCAGAGTGGGAGACACAACTCTAGTGTGATTCACGTCAATATTTTCTGTTTTGGTTGTTTAGTTGTTGTGTTCAAGGACTCTTGTACTGCGGCTGTGGCGAGCCTTCATTGAAGCAGACTAATCGTCAACATTGTTACTTGACAACGACAACTGCAGGAGAGGTGTGGCGACGGATCCCATCCCTCCACTCGGGCGACTGTGCCTAAACTGGATTGTCCTTCGATGCCTTGAAGTGCTGACAGACCGCCATGCAGGGCACCCCGCAGGGCGACAGGAAGCAGGCAGAAACGCAGCGTCGACAGCACTTTCCTTGTTTCATTGTTCGCCTATCGTCACCTGCCAGGCGCAAAAGTGGTGCGCAGCATGTTCATGACAACGTTGTCAAAGGAAGTTGATGATGACATTTTATTGTTAAGAAGATAGCAGTCGGTTGCGCATCGATTGCATAGGCAGCACGCTGAATTCTGAGCTGGAGTAACGGAAGCGCAAATCCCAGGCGACAGGGTCCGGGCTCGCGCCTCGTCGTCCTTTCGACAGTGTGGGCTTCGCACTAGACCAAGCTTTCGGTGCCGATGCCAAGTTACAATCTTGTGCCCCTAAAGGTCAACAAAAAAATCGTTTCTCCAAAAGGACTGCTAGCCACACATTTCATTCCCGGGTTGAATAGTAAACCGAACTTCTCGCCATCCTTCCCTTCTCCTCTTGCTTGCACCAGCCGCTTCCTACCCAGCCTATGCAAAACTGGCCCCCCGCGGAATCATAGAGGAGCACGAATTCCATTCGCGCAACAATCTCTGATAAAGCAGGTCAGATGCAGGAAGGGGGGACAGATAACCTTTCACCTCTACAGCCAATTCAAACCAGGAATCATACGCCGTATTCATTTCCTATGGGGTTGAGAATAGAACACGAAGCGATCACCAGCGTGCGCCCCACCCCACCCTTCATACCGTCTGTACTAATGCCGTTCCCCAGTTTCCTTTTATGCCTTCCTGCCAGCCCATGGGAGCGGTTCCTTGCCATCACCACACTGGGCGAGGAACTCTCAAGGAACCCCAGCACCCCCAGGGGATCCAAACAAGTCAAATGCAGAATGGTCGTTTCCAAAAGAAGCCTTCGTTTTCTGTCCGCACACAGGACCCATGTGCTGTGGTGTCAATAAAGAAGTCCCCACGCCAAAAAGAAACACAAACATATTCGTTTATCCGGCACAGCAATGCCTGCCGTACAGCCCCCTGGCGGGAGCTAGTTGCCCTTTTCTCGCTCACAGGGTCCTAAGCCAACTCCTGTCTATGGACCCAATAAGGACGTACCCCAATACCTGTCGTTCCCAGTTGACAGTTCTAACTGCAAGATCCATCAACCATTCCAAAGCAGCCAACTACGCAAACCCACAGATCTCGCATCAGGGCTCTGGAATCTGTTCAATGCACCACACCCTGCATATCGGCGAGCATGCCCTCCTCCTTTACGCACTCCACTTCCATGAAACTGGACCCGTTCAAGCCATTCCGTGCTGGCATCGATCCGCTCGTGGCAGCCCCTCCACCCACGCCACCACTTCCCTCTGCGACCGGGCGAGCCACCGGCGTTGCCAGCTTCTCAATAAGAATGTTCTCCAAGGTAGTGCCAGCGCCACGCGCAGTGAAGGCGAGTGCCTGGCTGACCTGAGGCAGCACATTGATGTAGTCTGCCTGCTGCACGAGGGTTCCCGTCAGCGGGCCTGCTGTGGGCTGATCTGAGGCCCTGCCCGCGGGCGAGGGAGCCGCGCTGACGAGGCATATGAGAGGTTGATGGGGAGACATGGCTGGAAGTGCCGCTCGTGCGACCTGCAGGGCACCCTGAAAGGCCTCTGTCTCGGTCCTCAGGCGCTTACGGCGACGGGCGTTGTGGCGCATCAACCTGTTCAGGGAGTCCGGTGCACACCATGCCGTCAGCAGGCCAGAAGCAATTGTGTGTAGGCTAAAAGTCGTATGTGTGGAGCGTTCACAACCCGGAAATACACAGAAAGCTTCAGAAATGCTGCTCCTGCATTGGTACGCCACGCAGACAGCAATTATGTACCAGCAGATGGCATGATTGTTTAGACATTTCCCAGAACCAGTGTGCCCTTCATAGGTTGCAGAGCATCTGACACAGGAAAAACACCTGCATTGCCACCAGAATTTTGAGCTGCTGCTGATGGACACATTTGCAGCACATTGTACTCAGCATGGCAAATTGACAAGGTGCCTGGTGGGTGACAGGACAGCATGTGCGACTGACCTCGACCGGCAGCTGCGCTTGTTGCCATCGAACTCAGCCAAGTCGTGGAACCTTCCGCACTGCTGGCAGAACCGCTGGCAACGGCCGTCCTTCACGATTGAGCTGACTTTTAGGTGGAGGTCACATATTTTGTACCTGACGTGGTAGTCCCTCAGGCCCGTCAGGTTGTTGCTGCAGCCCTCCACCTGGCAAACGCAACGAGTGGTCCTGGCTGCAGTTGGAGAACTCGTTTGTGCCTGTCGCCAGTAGCAAGCACAGCACATAGCATGTCAGCACATTTCAGCTCCCAGCATACAAGGTACAAAGAAGCAGCATGGACCCAACCACCAACAAGCAGCATCGCATCCAAATCGCTCAATAAAAATCTGGCACACAAACACAACAAGGCACTCACAATAGGCAATCATGGTTGCAGCTCCAACGAACCTATGCCTAACAACAACAAATGAATAACAAAGTGGCAATTTACTCAACAGGGACACTTCAAGGGATTGGCCAACCTCACTCACCACAGCAACGTCGAATGGTACCCCAGGCGTCTGCACAATCAACTTTGTGTCCTTTCCGGCAGCCCCATTGATTTGCTGTGTGCCTGTTTCCGACACCATGTCAGATGAGTCTTGCTGCTGTGTCCTATTTTCGGAGTTCTGGCTGGCCAAATCCTCAGATGCGCAGTCCTTCGCAAGGGTTTCCTTGCCCTGCTGCTGGACCTTCACCGATGGGGTCTTCCCCTGTGGAGCACATGCAGGCTGACGTGCGCACTGTGCCAGCAGCAACTCCTGCAGGTGGCGGACCTGCGAAGCCTCGTCCATATCCGCAGGGAACAGCTCGTTCGACCCCTGTCTCGAGGCAGGAACCTTTTGGTCAGGCTGAATTGAAAGCACCAGCGGCAGTGCATTTGCCATGTCCCCAACCTGGGACTTGGGAGCAGACGCCATGGGCTTGGGCTCTTTTGGGGCCACCGCATCGCCAGAATCACCCTTGGGTTCCTGAGCCTTGTTTTCGACCATCTCCGTGTCGTTCTTGGCGTCAGGCTTGTTGTCAGCCACGACCCGGCTGGTGCACACAGCATCCTGGACGCCCAGGGCCTGCAGGTACTTGAGGCACAGACGCTGCTGCACGCACTGCAGTTCCTCAACCGACATCCTTGGGAAATTAACGATCGTCAGCAGCTCTTCCAGGTGCTTCACACGGTTGATGTCCCTCAGGATCCAGCTGCAAGCGCCCTGCAGCAGGTCCACCTCCTGGCAGCTCATCAGCTCAGGTGTCTTCAGCATGGCCTTGAGCTGATCCAGGGTCAGATTGAGGAAACCATCCGTCTGATGCACAGCGTCCCACCTGGAAACCCAGCATACCGCACCGTCAGCATACTCATTGAGTGGCAGGCTGCCAAGCTCTTAGAAGTGAGCAGTGCAGCGATCCAATTGGCAGTAGTGAAATTCCTTTGATGTCCATCGCCCCGAAATGATTCAACAAACACAGCAAGAGGCCGCCAAGTCGTTGCTGATTTTGCTGCCAAAAGCAGTTTAATGGTACAGGCACTTCCACAAGGGAGAGTAGTGATTGGAGAAGCCAAGACAGAGGAGCAGAGAGACATGAGATCGCACCTGTCAGCAGCCAAGGCGAGGCAATGTGCCTTCAGTTTCTGCAGACCCTCATCCTCCCACTGTGCGTACAGCCGACAGCAGTTCTCCACATTGAGCTCGTCGGCCAGGAAAGCCGTCGCCAGGGCCTCCAGAGCGCCGATGCCAAACTTCTGCGCGGCCATCAGCACAGCCGTGGCGTTCGTAGGCGTCAGGGGGCACTCGGATGAGTACAGGAAACGCAGCACCAACTCCATCGTATCGCCGTCCACGTCAGGGCAGTGCACATCACAGCCGTCCTCTGCAATCCACCGCAGTACAACAGTCAGCGACTCGTGGCTTTTGCTTGGGGCGCCAAAAAGGAAGCCATGGTCAAGGGGGGCACGCCTTCAGCGCCATCGGGTGCAACGAACCCCTTCGTCCTGTGATCGCGAATCCCAACCCAGTAATCCAAAACAAATTCCACAATTAGCGAGTGGCGGGCAAGCGAAGCTAGGCAAGGGCGTGGGTAGCGGATCAGCCCACCTTGAGTGACGAGATGGCCCAGGGCGTCGCTGCCCGCGGCCATCACCACGCGGTGGCCCGCCAGACGCCGACCACACGAGGCGATCAGGGTCACATCCGACAGGCCCTCCTTGTTGCAGAAGTCCGCCAGCCTGGTGAAGACGGGGGACTGGTGTTCCTGCGTGCCAGGGCGCATAAATTCAGCCGCAGGAAAAGGAGATTCGGGCTGCGACACGGCACCCAAGGCCCCACAGCGAGGCCATGGCCGGCTGCGGAAGCCGAAATGATTTTAGGACAACAAAAAATGAAAGCAGCGATTGAGGGGTCAAGCTTGAGGCGGGCGGAGAAGGCGGGCTATGGATCCCCTGGCAAGGCTGCGCGAGGAACAGAGCGCGGGGCGGGGAGCCGCAGGGTAGCCAGCCCCGTGGCCTCCATTATCCATGACGTCCATCATGGTCGCCCCTGGAACGGCATTCTACAGGTCAAGCCCAGAGCCAATGCCCGCCGTACCAGCGGCCAGTACCGCCCGGCCACTCCGATGATCGACGCCATCCGTACTTTGCGCCCCCGGCTGGCGCGGCGTCCGCCACAGCCACTCCAGGTGCGCCAGCCTGAAAAGGATGCGACACAGGGCGCGCCGCCCGCCCAAGCCATGGATTCCGCGGTGAAAAGCGAGCTGAAGAACGCCTCGCCCCCACCCCCCCATCAACCCAGAGTCACCTCCAGTTCCCTCCCAACACACCCAGGGGGGCCCCTCCCACAGGACAGGCCCCATCCCCGCCAGTCTCCGTCCGCGCCACCCCAGCCCGCGCTACCCCAAAGCGCCACCCCTCACGCGCCGCGCCCCTCTGCAAGCGCCGCGCACCCTCGGCAAGCCTCCCGGCGCCTGCATCCCGGAGGTCTCCCTCCCTGCGCCCGGCATCGCGCCGCTTCTCTCAAGTGGGGAGCCGCCCGCCCGCTCGCGTCGTACCCACGGCCGGCAGGCCGCGGAGATCCGCCCGGTGGGCGCTCCTGCCTCGGCCAGGCGGGGCGCGCTAGGTGCGGTGGCTGAAGGGCGCTTGTGGTCGGCTGCCTGGCCGGCCCACCCGTCCAATTGCCCCACAAGGTTGCCACCACGGGGTGCGTGGCACTACACTTGTCCTTGCCCCGCGCCGAGCAGTCGAGAAATGGTGGTCGCGCAGTTCGCCACCCAAGACGCGCCAGGGCGAATCCCACCTCGATGCCAGTACTTTGGGGCCCACGTGGCCCGTTGAGTCACACGGGCACAGGGCCTGCCCGGACGCCGTACCATTGCTGAAGTGTACCTCCAGTACATTAGAAGCCTACTACTCGCAGACGTGCAAACCTACCATTGGCCTCGACTGTACCGTACGGGTGGGGCGTTGGGGTGACCAGTTTGTCGTATGCCCGAGGGCTGAGACCAGGAGTAAGCGCATGTGCCTACTATCGCCAGGCTGTCATGATGCGGCATCCCCATCACGCAGCATGACCCTAGCCATCACTTTGGCCTCGTGCCCAATCTATCACCTTGTGATGGCAGGCGCTGCCGCCCGCCGGGAGGAGGAAGGGTGCCATCCAAAATCCCCGTTGCTTAGTGCAACGGCCCTCACGCAGCAATGGCCCTCAATGCGCGATGGGGAGGCAGTGTACCGCTTGGCGCTCATGGAGCCGCGCCCCGGAAATCAGTCATCGATGTCATCGACAACTGAACAACCTGAGTACCGGGAACCGCCATGATGCGCCTGCGCGCGATCCTGCAACAGAGACGTGAACGGCGTAAGTGGCGTTGTCGCAGGCAGGCACACGCCGGTACACTCTCCCGTACACGCTACAGGAACTGCTGGCTTCCCAATCTCCCCTTGTTTCGCGGTTGATTGATGGTACACGCCATACGACACGGAGGTGCATTTCTTCCACCTGTGAATCTCATTTTTCCCGAGGAACAACGACGCGTGTCTTTCACCTTGGAATCTCGTTTTCCCGAGGAACAAAGTGACCCAAGTCGCGATCCTACGCACCACGCGATGCTGGCCCTGCAGAGCATACGACACTAGCCAGCAGCTTTTTTCCCAGCAACTCTCCGATTGTGCGTCAGCCCTGAGGAAATGGCGCCATCACGCTGTTGAGCTCACCGTCAGCCCTTCTCCACGTATTGGGTCAGTTCGCTGTCGCCATACAGGAGCAAAGAACAGGAGATCTTCTGTGTCTTCTGATCTTCAGTGTCGTTCCAGAACGACGCTGCAGCATATGAGCAAAGAGTGGCGATTCAGAGCCACATGGGCGCATGGCCGAATGAGCTGGTTTTAGGTCAAGCGTACAAGCAGGTGCTCACAGGCGCACACAATTTCAGCGGAAACAATGGACCATCATTGTGGAGACGGTATCCCCATGGTGAGCATGATACTTGGGAGTGAGCACTGTTTGCTGTGTTTCCACAGTCCAGTGATCGCATGAATAGTCGATACTCTTTCTTACGTGTGTTCTTTGCAAAGCGTATCGACATTCAATATCGTTCAGCAATGAAAATTGGTACAGCGAGGAGGAAGTACAGCTCTCAAATTCCACGAAATACGATTTTCATGTGATTAAAGCTCAGCTAATAATTGTATAATAGGGCAGACTTTGTGTGGGCGCCACTGGGGTGCTGCCGATTGCAAGTTTGTTATTTTCGTTACTGCACCATTTTGGCGTTTATGGTGCAAACAGCTGGCATTTACGCATGTGGACGCACAAGAAAAGTTTTAGGTTTCTACACGTAAAAACACGTAAAATGAATAAATGTGGGCCCTCTGTACATACGGCCAGTACACACAGAAGCAGACAATCCGAGAAGCGGGAGCCAGAAGTGACGGAGTGGGCAGCGGACAACCGTTTGCTCGACGACGTCGTTGCCCTTGCCGAGGGCAAGGTGGATGCTGTGTGGTGGGTGCTCGAGGGGCCGGCAGACTGATCATTGTTTGCGACTACATCATGCAACCTGGGTGTGCCAACGCGCCGTTTAAATGGTGTAAAAATGGGAGTTTCTCCGTTTACACTTTTTTTCCGAATAACATCGCAAACAACAACCCGCCCAATGGCATTCTTTGGCGAGGGAGGGCTGTTACTTTGACATCTGGCAGTTGGCCCTTTGGTAGCATTGGACCTGTGGAACCGCAGGTTGGGTTTGCAGTGCTGCCAAGGGACCAGTGCACTCCAGGCACGCTTTCAAAGAACACCGAGAATAGTTTTGAGCAAATGGCCTGGACAGGGTCTCCCAAGTTTGGCGGGCACAATCTCTATCCTAGAGGAGCCCAAGAAGCTCATTCACCTTGCTTTGCTCCATTCGGAACATCCTTGCTACGTGTGTTCGCATGCGGGGGGAAGTGGCTCTCCAAATCTGGGCGTTTTTTGGGGTGCAAATTGCCAACCTTAGGGCAAACTGGTTTGGAGTAAACGGCAATTTTTCAAACAGCTATGGTGAAATACAGTGTACAACATACACCAGAGACGGAATTTTTGCCTTTCATTAGTTGGTTTGGTAAGACTTGTCAAGCTAGGCACAGTCCTTTACCATTCGACTCACACACTGAGTGTGCGACTTGACCAGAAAGAGCACGCCATCAAAAGCAGAAATGGCTATTCTGACTTTTGCAATCCGTGGAGCTTGGAGCCCCAGAATCAATCGCAACGAAAAAGGGAAATAAACATGATTATTTCCCAACCTCGGGTGGATCTGTTCTCCCCATCCTGAACCTAACCCGGTCTTTGCCCTGACACCCTCCTAGCCTAAACTCCCAATCGCAGCAGACCACCGCTGACCGGGAGCCCGATGGCGCGTCACTGCCGCGACGTTGCCACGCAGGCCCCCTCACGTAGTGCGCAGCGCCCCCGAATTCCCCGCTAAAAAGTCGACGCCCTCCCTGCTGCCCGCAGCTGGAGCCTCCCGCACTCGCACAGGCGCACCCGGGCGCCGGCCACAGGCCCCGCCGCTTGTGCCCCGCTTCCCCCACCGCATCCCCAGCACCGGGGCTCCCGGCTCTTCTCGCTGCCGGCCCGCCGGGCCGGGCGCGATGGAGCTCCTGCACATCGGCTTCAATCAGGACCACGGCTGCTTCGCTTGCGGCACCAGCACGGGCTTCCGCGTCTTCAACTGCGACCCTTTCAGGGAGCAGGTGGGCCGAACGGCGAGGCCACTGCGCCCTTCCTGGGCGCCTCCCCAACGCGCCCGTCCCTTCCCGCGAAGCTGGTCGCGATCAGGTGGCGCGACGCTGACGGGTGTCCTCCTCGCGCCGCCCAGTTCCGCCGCGAGTTCAACAATGGCGGCATCGCCATCGTGGAGATGCTCTTCAGGTGCAACATCCTGGCCATCGTGGGTGGCGGGACGACTCCCAAGTTCCCTCCAACCAAGGCGAGTGCCGGCAAATGCCCCGTCTTCCGGTCCTCCTTCCCCCCTTCTTTCACGCGGCCATCGAAGCCCAGCTCCGCGGCCCATCCGTGGACACCCACACCCGTGGACTGATCCGCGTTGTCGTGCCTGTGGTCCCGCGTGCAGGTGATGATTTGGGACGACGACCAGGGGCGCATCATCGCGGAGCTCAGCTTCAGGAGCCAGGTCAGTGGCACTGGCGCCGGCGGACCGGGATTGAGGGTCGGGTGCGCGGGAGGAAGCAATGGGATTCTGAAGTCCTTTCGGCGTGCAAATCCTTGATTGTATTGGACGAAGAAGACGAAACATAGCCCTGGCACCTGCAAGGCCGGGCAGTCCGCTGGCACATTGTCGACAATTCGATCGCCACAGACGCCAAAGCCCGAATACAGACGTCCTGTCCGTGTCGTGGCGACTGACCAGCGCCTAATTGGCAGGCCTGAGCTGTGGAGTCCCTTGGCTGTCGCCCAGGAACGTAGCAAGAAGGGACTGCCCAATCAAGCCCCCAAACAACTACCACCCACCTGTGGCTGTTGCATGACTCCCCCATCCCGCTCTGGGGGCTCCTTGGCACCGATCAGTGGAAGAAAGAATGTCAAGAACTGTGCTCAGGAGGGAATTTGTGCATGCACAAAAGTCGAGAATTCAGCCTGCAAGGGTGTTTCCACACCTGCACATCAACACTGCTATTTGTAGCACTCCTGCCCTATGCCTGTACCCAACGGCATCTGGGCCCAATACATTCAACCCCCCATTGCGGCAATGGTTCAGCCCTAAGCTGCAAGTTGATTTTCTCATCAGCATATGGCATATCACTGCTTTCGTTCCTATCAGGGACGAGTGGCGCTGTTCACGTCCCATAGGCATCCACCACCAAACTGGTCTGTTCCCTTTGCCACCAGTTTGCCCTCAATGCTTCCAGTGTGGATTGATGCACACCTGCCCTTGGATTCTTTGCACCTCACAAGCGAATGTGCTGTGAGCCCAGTTGCTTGGCTGCACATGCAGTGTACCGTTGGAACAGTACTTTGTTGCTGCTGCAGGTTCGGGCAGTGAGACTGCGCAAAGACAGGATCGTTGTAGTGCAGGAGCACAAGGTGTCTGTGTATAACTTTGCTGACCTGAAGCTCCTGCACTCCATCGAGACGGTGGCCAACCTGAAGGGCCTGGTGGCACTGTCTTCCCAGGCAGATGTGACTGTGCTGGCATGCCCTGGGCTGCACCCAGGAAAGGTAGCCTGGCTGTCGATGCAAGTGCTATGCCAGAGTTCATGGGGTCTTGTGTGTGCAATCCCTCACTTGATTGACCAGCAATGCTCACAATGGTTCACAGCTTCGGCTGTTCTAATGGTCGCCTTGAACGCACAAGGGCAGTGGCATTGTGTGCCAAAGTAACCAGACTGATTTTATCTCTGTTCAACCATTGTGTTGTGTTCCTTGATGACAGCATCCAAGGCGTTGTTTGCCGCAGAGTCAAATAGTCAATTCTGATGCATCTCTGCACAGAAGCTCTGTTGTTACTCTGGCAGCAAACATTGCATGTCAGTATTTGCCATTTCTGTGTCAATTTCTTGGCAAACACCAAATTTGTAGTTGCAAACAGGCTTCGAGAATTTGGCGACAGGTTGCCAATTAGCATTGCTGATCCTGTCAGGTTTGGATTATTTGACATTGGGCGCAGTCTTTGGGAGATATATGACTTCTTGCTGATGGGAATGGGTGAGGACCAAGCTAGAGACCCTTACCGCATAGGTATATCTGGTGGCTGTCTCTATGTCACCCCACCCCTCCCTACCTTCTTTCTATGCATGTTAGGATTTGAGCCCATGGAGCACATTGATCTGTGACGAACCTAGAGTCCGAAGGTGAAAGGTATGATGTTGCTTGCGCACTGCTTGGTGTAGGTTCTGTGGAATTCCAGCCCAGTTCCCTACTCAGCCAATTCGCCTTTCTGCACCTTCCTGAATGCTCTGTGTTCAGGCAGGTTCGTGTTGAGTTGTTTGACCGCCGGCAGACAAAGTTCATCTCTGCCCACGCTTCAAACCTCGCTTGCCTTTCCTTGGCTCTGGACGGGCGATTCTTGGCAACTGCTTCTGAGAGGGGGACCCTTGTGCGGGTGTGGAGCACAGCAGACGGAACCCTGTTGCAGGTGCGTTGTTTTCTTGCCATCCCAAAGTTTGGCATCGTGACTGGGGGATCAAGAGCTATTTGATGTGTTTTCCTTGGGACGAAATGTTGCATCATCTGCTAGAATACAGGTGGCACCACTACCCCAACAGGAGAGATGTGGCCTCGTGCCAGCTTACAAGAAAGTGCAAGGCAATTTAGAACCCTTTTGTATTCATTCGCTTGGACACAGTCTTGTTGTAGTGGTGATGGTCTGTGAATAGTCTTGCGCATCCAGGGATCTCAACGCGAATCCGTTGGACTTGAAGTTGCAGTGCAAACACAGGTTCATGCAAAAGTTTAGGTTGCTTGCCGCTTCCCGATATATTTATCAATTGAATAATGATCAGTGCATTGCTAGTTTCGTCAGATTTCTTAGAGCGTCAGTGTTACAGAGAACCTTGGCACCCTTAGGGGCTACTAAAAACAAACAAACAGATTCACAATCAAACGGATGGAAAAGATGGAGTAACAAAATATTGCTGGTGCATCACCCATTGTGGGTGACAAGGCAACCAACTGCCTGTCATCGCTGCTGCAAAGCCCAAAAGCACTAAAACCATGCTCCTGCAGTGCAATAGGGTAGTTTGTACTAGACTGCAAATTAGACTAAAGGAACTTTCATGATTGTGATGCGGTCAAAACTTCCTATTTCTGCCTATATGGCTAAAACTTCCTATTTCTGCCTATATGGCTAAAACTTCCTATTTCTGCCTATATGGCTGTTTAGACGATTCACTGCTCTGTTGCTCAATTCTTGTTGGTATCAGATCCTGCAAGAGTTGGTGTGGAATCATTACACACATTGCTGGCCTGCGAATCGTCTGAATCTGCCTGCATGTTCAGAATGCAGAGTCAAGTCAGAATTTGATGATCTGCAGCCTGGTCTGCTATACTGCAAGTTGAACACAGCTTGACCTGCCCATGCCACACTCCCAAACAAGGAATATTAACAGCTTACAACACACATATCTGACACCACAGCCAGCAGTGACATTGATCTGCAAGCACCTTTTTAGTCTTGGTTGTGAGTTATAGATTTGCCTGGATAGCGTTCGAAATATTCTGTGTGTGCACTCAGTCCGCCAGCTTCTTGAATGTGCAGGGGCAGCGGTTTGTCGCTTACAAGCAGAAATAGAAAGAATGGTCAAAATTTTGCACCGGTGGTATTTAAACACTGTTGTGCATCAACTTGTGCAGGAACTGAGGCGTGGCTCAGATGCTGCAGTGATCTACAGCCTGTCTCTGTCAAAGAACTGTGAATGGCTGGCTGTGTCAAGTGACAAGGGCACTGTCCATGTATTTGCACTGAATGAGGCCCTGAAGACAGGGATGGAAGAGCCACCACGCCAACAAGCAAATGGAACAAGAGAGCATGCGAGCAGTGACTCTCAAGCCAACCCTACATCGATGCTGTCAGTCGTGAAGGTAATTTGCTCACAGCTGCAAGGGAAGACATCGATGCACAGGTGCTGCTGCCATTTCTCAGAGTGCTTGTTCCGCTATTCCACTGTTCCACTGTTCTGCTGTAAAGCAGTTGTCAAGCTGGTGGCAAAAGCCTTGCACATTGCCAGCCACAGGAAGGAATTGAGTTCCTGTTGCCAACTCTGTTCATTTGCTGTTGTTGACACCATCGTATGTCGTGCTGCCACAGGGTCTGGTGCCACTGCCAAGCTATTTCTCATCAGAGTGGTCGTTTGCACAGTTCCGGTTGCAGGAGGAGAGCTATGCCATTGTGGGCTTTGGCCAGCAGGCCAACACCCTGCTGGTGGTCAGCATGTGTGGGTCATTCTTCAAGCTGTCCTTCGACCCAGTCAGGGGTGGGCCGTGCACCCAGCAGTCGTATTGTAGCTTCCTGGACCTTGAGGCCACCCGGTGACAATGGCCAACTTGCATCATCAAGAAAAACAATTCCCAGGCTCACATGCGCCCTCTTGCACATGCATCTTGAGCAACATCACGATTTGCCTCCTTTCACATTGAATTTGCCTGCATGGCCCCAAGTGCAAGAGCCTGGCCTTGTACAGACCGGGACTGGGGCTGAATGATATACTGGGAGCATCTGCTGCTGTTTGCATCAACAGAATGGTGCCTGTGTCGCTTGGGCGTCTGGAAGTGGGTGGTAGCACTGGGTCAGCAGATGTGGACCCAGTGTACTGACTGGATTGTCATTGTGTGCAATGCCTGATTCGGCTGCCTGGTCTCGTTTCATGGGGTTTTCTTTGGTGGCTGTGGGTAGGGTAGGGGGTGGGGGAGGGCAGGGGCAGGGTCAGGGTCAGGGGCTTAGCATTCCGATTTGCAGGGCTTTCTTTAGGGTCTCAAGACGTGAGGTTCAAGTTGTTAGTTGAAACGGCTCTAGCATGGGATGGTACTACACTCATAGTGACGGCTGCAGGGATGCGATGTCGATTCCTAAAAATTCTGCGAAATTCGCTGTCAGAATTGTTGTTAAGCTGCCAGGGTGTGTAGACAAGGCCATGTAAGCTGGGATTTATTTATCTTCAGTGGAGGCCGCTGGCATCCAGACACTATTCAGTAGTTTGTAGTGCCTGCACTGACCCAAGAATTCCAAGCCATGGCTTATAGAGAGGTCATCCCGGAGCCTGGAACGGGTGGGGAAGGACTGCTAGGGCTGATCAAGCGAGTGTAGTGCATTTGAGTTGAAAGCAAAGGATGGGCCATGAAGCGTTCATGGAAAAGGAGAGGTGGCTGAGTAGATGTGTGAGAGGGGGTTGGGTTGGGGTGTGCGAGCGAGCAAGGGTTTACAGAACCTGGCGTTTGTAGCATTCATGCATACTGTGCTTCAGCTTTTCAATAGTGGAAGCATGTCTTCAGGTTCTGGGTTGTTTGCTTTCAGACTTGAGACCTGGGGTCAATAGACAAACAGCATTTTGAGTCTCGCAAGGTTTGCTGATAGGATGGGTTGCTCCCTGGCGGGGTGCCCAATGTGGCATGGGTTGACTGCAGGGCTCACTGGATGATCATAGGGTCACACTAGCCTCCCAGGCTCTTGTGATTCTATTGGTCGTTCGTGCTGGCCAGAACATGGACTGACTGAAGCATATGCTGGATTGAAAAGCACGCCAGGCAAACCAAGAATGAGTGGCAGGTCATGCAAAGAAGTGACCATGAACGGTGGGAGATGCAACCTGAGCTTCATCAGAAAGAAAGGCATCCCATCCTTCACAAGGCGTGGCACGTGTATGCTATGCAGTATGCCATCTTTACATAGCGATGGTAATGGCTCAAGTGTTGGACTTCAGGCACTGTCCCGTCCTTCAGTCACATGTCATTAGCCCTCCCACTTCTGCGGGATAAAGATTCATGTACTGAAGTACTCCATCTTCTCTTCACCACGAACGCATTCACCATCACGTGCGCTTCTCCTTGAGAGAGACAATGGAGTCTGTGGTGCCAATAGTCTGTGGTGCCATTCGCCCCCTTCTTCAGGAACACGCAGCAGCCACACTGCATAGAAAGAGTAGCAATATCTGGCAGGCACATGAATGAATGGCACACGTGCGGGTGCCACTCAATCGTGTGCCATCCAAGCCCGCTTGGGTTGACGCAGGACACCCGACCTCGTTGGTTGCCAATAGCGTCTGTGCGGCTGTAAAATGCGCAGCCGCGCCCCAGCGGTCGCCATCTTGGAGTTGGATGTAACGGGGAAAAGGACAACTGAATCTAGAGGGCCCTTTCCCGCCCTCCATCGCCTACAAGTTGGGAGGCCACCGTTTTGCCCATATGAATATTTGCTTTGGACAGTCCAAAACGGTAGCCTTGCACATTGCAGGTGATGCATGGCATGTCAAGCAAAGGATTTCACCCTGCCCGGTCGTTCACCACGTGCTGCACGCGCGCCTGCTCGCATTTGAAATGCAATTCGGGCCCTTTCCCGCGACGATTTTGAACTTGCCAGCATCCGCCACCGCGCGACGTCTCCCCCCCCCCCCTGACGCCCGCGGCTTAAAAGAGGACGTCCACTTTCCCATCGCGCCCAATGCCCCCCGATCGACCGCGCCCCTTCAGCCCCGCCATCCGCCATTTGCTGGCACCTTTCCCGCCGCGCCACGCCTCCCACTCGCATTCTCACCACCGCGTTCGCTTTCAAAATTGGACTCGGGCAAGGCCGTTGGTGGATCGATCAGCGACAGCGGAGCCGTCGCTGTTTTCTCCTCATTGCAGTAGAGAGCCGCCAAGAGCCCCCGGTGCGGAGGACCCAAATTGCGGGGCTTCACGGCCGACTTTAAAGCCGCCTTGCGGTGGCCTTGTTCTTGGCTTCTGCTTGTTGTTGCCCTGCTGCCGCCCTGTTGTTGCCCTGTTGTTGGATTGTTGTCAGCCGCCTTGGGTTGCTTTCAACCGATCGGATGCACACAATGAAGGAGCAGGGCGGCGCCCGCGAGGCTCTTCTGGGCAGCGGGGCCGCTTCGGAGGCGCGATCAACTCGACTGTCTGGCCGACGCAAAATTTGGAACCTGGGCCGCATACTAGTGCCACAGAGGCCAACTGGGTGTCGCCCAGGCGCTTTGGCGCGCGGCTTTGCTGCAAACATTGGCGCCAATTGGCCTTGGGGGAGCAGCAATAGCATCCGGATGCGCCGCGAGAACCTGCCGATCGCATTTGCCATGAGGCGAAGGAGCGCTTCCCTCGCCCTTCCAATTCGGCGGCGGGCATCGCCCGATCTTGCAGTGGGTGGTGCTGTGAGCGCAGAGGAGCGTTTGTCTGCATTTCGGGGGTGAATGAGTCGGGGTGTTGGCGTTTGGCCCCCGCAGGGAGGCCATGGCTGGCGGCAGGAGGGCCGCACAGGCCCAGGCGCAGCGGCAGCTCAACATATCCAAAACCGAGTCGCTGGAGCTGGTGAGCGACGCATTCGGATGGGATCCGATTGTTGTGCTACTGACAGTCTAATGCAATGTCTTAGCAGCACGTGCCAAGGCAATAGAAAACCAGGGCGCCGGTGAAGATAAAACATTATGAGCCCAGATGAGACTCAAACTTGGACTGAGGCGCGGTGCGCGTTTTATTGCAAGAATTGGGCATTTTTGTCTTTCAGAAACGTTCGAAGTTCGTGCGATTTGTGTAGTTTTCACAGCCCTGACCCAGCGATGGCGTCTTATGCTATTTTGTGCCACTGTCTTGATATTCAGTCCGTTTGGCGCCTGATTGCTGTTTTTATTCTTACTTAGGAACATTTAAATATTTAATGCATTGCTTCTTTGATATGTGCTGATGAATTTCCAATAACATTTGATGTGCATTGCCTTGAGTTTCATCTTCTCACTATGGCATGTTCTCTACTTCGTGTGCATGTCAGGCGCACATGAGCTAGTGCTCCAATGCGTGGCGCGATACGCGAATTCGAATCGATGACCGCTATCGCCGCATCGCACGCCTGGCGACGGCGATTGGCTGTCCGACTTGTTGCTTGGAATGTAATGTGCAGGTGCGGAATTTGCTGAGAGTGGTGAGGAGGCTTGGGTGACGAACTGAGGCTTTTGGCGGCGACATCTTGTTTTAGACAGCGCCTCCTCCATATGCCAAGGGATCGCCCTCAGGCCTGAGTACAGTGAGATACCAGATGTGTCTGAGCCTGGTGCCACCATATGAGCGCAAAATTCGCAAAGATTAATTCGCCCAATAGACATTAAAAGTCCACTTGCCCCTCAGCAGTAAATGCCCGCGGTTTTGGCAAGCACGACGAGCATCCTGCGCTGTGAATGGAGCAGCACATGCAAATGATACAATACTTACACCGAGTGTAATGGAGCTGAGATGAATATATTCAGTGTTAAATCTCAGATCAATGTGGCAATTGTTGAATTAAATTGTGGGAAATACGCCTCCCAAGACAGTGTTCAGGGGCTTGATGCTCCAGAGCTGACCTTTGGTTCTCTGCCATCCCCGCAGTCCATATTCCACGTCAGCTACCTCAGGGGTCTCTTCCCCGATAACAATTTCAAAGAAGTGGATATGAGGAATATGGACGGTGAGCGCGTTCCGGCACCTTCAACTGCTCACACAGCGCTGAATTGAAGCGGGGAGATAATGGAATGAATCCAAATTCATAAGAGCTTTCATTACGGAACGGGTTTCGAAAGAATCGTATTCGAAGCCTGCCATGCATCATTACGCAGCCTGAAAAATATCTGATTTTTTTTCTGAAAATCGGCACACCAGTCCCCCTTTTCTATTTCAGTGGTCGCCAAAGGAAACTTTGCCAATGTGACATATTGATCCTGGAGCCATCACACCGATCCAACATGATCCACCTGTTTCGCCCCTGTTGAATGCCGGCACCCGCAGGCATGCAAATCAAGGTGCTGACGCCGACCTGTGATGAGTCGCGACGCCTGGTGGACTGGGTGGAGGGCGGCGTGTATGATGCACTCAAAAGGACATATCTCAAGTCGCTATTCTTTGGCGTATCTCTCGACCAGGGGGGAGTCAGCCTGCTGGAGGTGAGGGGAACTGCTTAAAAGTGTCCATGAAAACTACGATGCATTTGATCACATATGTACATTCGGTGCTCATATGTGGGATTTTTTTCTGCCTAATATAGTTTTTGTTAATTAGAAAAGGATTCAGTACTTTTCGTAGGTTGTTCTCCCAATCCAACAATGACAGCGCTGGGAGCTCCAAATCGTAATCCAATAATACGAGTTTAGAAAAATCCTCCCTGATATCGATTTGAAAAGGATGCTTTCCCATTTTGCACATTTCGTATTCGTGCTCGCCAGGGTTGAATCCTCGGTATTAGTGTCCCATTCGTAGGTAATTTACCCAGTTGGCACCACATAGTGTTGTCTTTTGCCATCTTATGTATGGTCGTATCAACGTTATGTTTTGAATGCCACGTTTGTTCAGTTGGCGCAACATATT